AAAAAGCCGCGATATATAATTTCTTTATAGTACAATTTTTATTGTTTAAATAAGGAATAAAACAAATAAGCATTAAGCAAATTAATATTCTCTCAATTTATATACACATTTACGACATATTGCTAATAATAACAAATAAAACTAAATAAAATAAAGAACAATTTTTATATAATATTGAAAATAATTGATTTTATAATTACAGCGATTGTCGTACACCTACAGAGGTCTCATTGTTCCCGTATTAACCCCTTTCAGTAAAAATGGGTAATTAACTTATATCCACAAACTTTAATAACAGCTAATATTAAACTGAATGATAATGTGTGATTGACATTTATTTAATAGATCTCTTAATTTGAACATTATACCACAATATGCGACATATCTAGCAAAGAAAGGAATCAAAGGTATACTTGGTAAGTCGCCTTTAAAATCAACTTTAGTTTTTAATTTAATGCATTAAATTTCTGCCGAAAGAGCTTTGCATAAAAATCATTTTAAAAAATACATATATATATGTAATAAGTATTTCAAAAATTATAATAGTAATTTTGTTTGCATGTATGTCACATCTCTCTTTGCAGTTAATGGCACAAATGGTGAAGGAATGTCAATGTCTGTTGCCGAAAGAAAACTTGTTGCCGACGCCTGGGTAAAGGCAGCGAATGAAACAAAACAACACTTGATGGTTCAAGTAGGAGGTGCTCCTTTTCCCGATGTTATTGAACTTGTAGGTTCAATTACTAACATACGCGAGAAACAACATTCATTCCGATCCTGCAATTGAATAACGAAATGAAAACCTTTCATAGGCAAAACACGCAAGTAGTTTGAACGTGGATTCTATACTCTGCTTACCAGAATTGTACTTCAAACCTACTACTCCTGAACAACTAATTGAATACTTGCAAACAATTGGCAAGGCAGCGCCAAAGACACCGTTACTATACTATCATATTCCTATGATGACTAATGTTAACAGTAAGCGGCCTTTCGACATTTTAATACGTATACTGAATATAATCAACTGACAATTAATAAGATTGATATTTCGTTATGTATACGTATCATATTATCACGTTATTATACTAGACAAGTATTAATCATGCATAAACATTTTGTAGTACACATGGAACAATTCCTTGCATCAATTGGTGATAGAATACCCTCATTCGTGGGTATAAAATTCACTAGCTTCAATTTAGAGGAAGGAGCTCAAGCGCTACGTGCTGATAATAAAAAATATATTATTTTCCTTGGCAACAATCAGGTAATAAAATATGCGTTAGCTCGTAAAGTTTAAGGCCAGCACTTCAAGAGTAGAAAAAAAAACTAATAATTAAATAAAAAATTAGTAACTAAATTTTTAATTGATTACCAGTTATATTTACTGGTAATATTCGGGTTTATTTTTATTAAAGTACGGTTTTTTTTTACTTCAATATAATGAAAATATATATTAGATCTGATTTTCTAGTTAATAAATGCCGCATATGCATTGGGAATGAAGTCTTTCATATTAAGCACCTTAAACATGTTTCCGGAACTTGTATTGGATCTTCTTGCTGTTTGCAAGAATGGAGATATGTTAAAAGCTAAAGATATGCAAGAAAAGCTTTCAAGTTCTGTAGCTGCTATAATGAAACATGGTAAATACTATTTTTACATCTAACAAAACGCATTTTTAGTAAAAATCGGTTGTTTGTAGGTAATCGAATCCAAGCTACAAAAATAGCAATGGCTCTTCTTACTGACATTGATGCAGGGCTATCTCGTACACCACCTAATTCTATTTCTTCTAAGATTGTAACAACTATGATAAAAGATTTGACAAACTTAGGATATCAACCAAAAATTAAATATTACTGAGAATATTTTCCTTTTCCAACTTATCTTGTTTGTATAACATATTGTATTATGTAGTATATTGTATTATATCATCTCTGGTTTTCCAATAAATTATCTAATTATAAACATAAATGTTGTAACAATGTTTTCTAAAAATAAATACTTATAAAAACCAAATCTAATCATTAAATTTATCATCAGTTTAATAAATATATATAGTCTATACATTTTAGGAATATATTTTTAAGATCTAAAACCTAAAAAATATTTTCCTATAAAATAGAGCAAATAAATCTTAAATATAAATATATAAGTAACATATGAAATAATAGTTTTAAGCAAATTAAATCAATTATTATTAAGTTTTATTAAGAAAAAAAATTATTAATCCGAAAAATATTTAGTCCGATACGTTCAACTAAACATTTTAGTTAATTGACTAAACATTAGTTGTTTCAACAATTTATTTAGTTTCTTTAATCAAAAATTAATTAATTCATGTGAACATATCGAAATCTCAAGTGAGCTCTTTAGTGACATTCATAAAATGGAGTTTGGATCAGAGGGAAAGCTAAGCGGCAATAAAATCAAGGTCCTGATTAAGACAAATGTTTACGGGCTCAGAGATCCACGAAAGAATGTTTGAGCGGCTGCCTCGCGTTTCTTTTCGACAATTTTTTTATAGATATATTCTAAATAACAAATTGAATGCTTTCTAACACTTAATGCTTTTATCTTTGACGTACTCATCTTTAAGTCCGTTGTACAATAAGTTGTATGTCGGTGTCGAATGCCAAACGCATGCGTACTATACTGTTGCTTATCATAAAAAGTTACGTTATAGTAAGTCAGATGTCGGTGTTACAACAGAAGATGGTCAATTTCCATCTTTTTATGACTTACAAATGTATGATTTTTACGATTAATAATAAGAGCTTACAATTTTTATTTTATAGTTTGTTTGCATCATAAATAATAAAATAATTATTCATCAAGGAAAATATTATATGACAAAACCGATACGGAAGTTAGAAATATTTTTTAAAATATTCATGGAAAAAATGTCTAAAAATTTTAAAATGTTATATGATGTGAATATGGCAGATAATATTTTAAAATTTGTAAAATTCTTTATAATTATTTATGTTCGAAATTACGTTAACTGCAATGCAGTTTTCGATGACTACCAAATGGTCTCTAATATTCATTAAAGGTTGAGATTTTATTTAACATCTTACTGTGTTATTTTAAGTCTTCTTTGTAAAAGTTATCTGATTCGTGTAATTTATCCACATTAATAATAAATTGGAATAAATTACTAAAGTTATCCATTATTGTTTATGCTCAATATATATTAATGATTTAATTCTTAATTGTAGAAAATGGTTATTCAAATCCGACAAATGACATATGACAAACGACTAGCGACATCTGATATCGACATACGACTTATTGTAGAACAGGCTTTAATGTTTCACAATAACAACCTATCTTATCAGCGCGTGACAAGAAAGTGTATATTTAGTTACTGATCGCTGTTTAATTCATGCGTTTCACATCGCTGCACTCGTGTAAGGTTTTATTTTACGCACAACACAATGTCCGTAAGTATACGATATTCACAATACTCATCATATAAATATAATTAAATAATCAAATAAAAATATTTAACTAGTGTAATCTTCACGTACTCGTTTTATAATCATTAGATATTATGTGTATAATTAATAAGTACACATATGTAAAATAACATATGCACAAATAAGTAAATACATATGGCTCTACTAAAAAATGCGATCAACTGAAATTATTGAGCTATACATGTACCGCACTTGTAGATATCGATCATGCTACCATAAATTTAAATCATATGGCAAGTGACATTTGAGTTAAAAGCTATAGCTATTGAGTTAAACTATAATATAATCATGTTACGTTCCAAAAATTCTCTTATCGCATCATATTAAAATGCCAGTTATTATTTCCAGTGGCAATTATACAAAAAGATTCTTAATATATCAATATTCAAATTGTAATATTTATTTCCTAATATAAAAAACGCGTATCGCTATTTTTATAAATAAATTCTTCCCATAGATGAACTGTTCTTCTAGATTTTCTGGTGTAATCTGATCCCTTTTTATATAAAAATAAGAATTAAGATTCCAAAATAAAAAACTATTTAGTCCCAACAATAATAGAATAGAAGGATTTACTGCCCTTTGTTTCATAGTCCTTATTTTTCTTTAATAAATAAGACACTTAGAAATTAAAAAAAACTCGAATTTAATATTTAAGACGATTTTTTTGCAGTCCCTCTTTTAAAACTAATCATTAAACAAGAAATAAAAATTTATCTGCAACGTCGCGGCACATAATTTTTTTATATTTAATATTATACAACATTATTATTTAAATAGGGAATAAAATATTATTGTTAAAAATAGAGAATAAAAAAAGTATGTAGAAATCAAATTAATAATCTCGAGATAGATGTATATAACTATATATATATACATATATATATTCACTAGATATATTGTTAATATAAAACTAAACAAAATAAATTACGAAATTGTTCATAACATTAATTTTATAATTGCAGCGATTATTGTACACCTACAGAGGCCTTATTGTTCCGGTATTTACTCCTTTCAATAAAGATGGGTAATTAACTTGTAGCCACAAACTCTAATACATCTAATTCAATTATAATGACCACTTCTAATGACAATATATTTATTTAATAGATCTCTTGATTTGAACATTATACCTCAATATGCAACATATTTAGCAAAGAAAGGAATCAAAGGTATTCTTGGTAAGTTCATTTATTTTTAAAATCAATTTTAATTATTTAAATAATATTTAACCACATATATTATTATTATTATTATTAAATTCTTGCAAAAAAAACAAACTTTGCATAATAATCATTTCAAAAGATACAAAAATTTATTCATTTCAAAAGAAAAAATATATAATATATAACAATTATTTTAAATAAAAGTAGTAATTTTTTATATATCACGTATTTTTTGCAGTTAATGGCACAAGTGGTGAAGGAATGTCAATTTCTGTTGCCGAAAGGAAACTTGTTACAGAAGCCTGGGTAAAAGCAGTGAAAGAAACAAAGCAACATCTGATGATTCAAGTAGGAGGCGCTCCTCTTCCTGATGTTATCGAACTTGTAGGTGTAATTACTAATAGCGAATTC